TTATTAATAGCACAAAGACTTACTTTCATGATTTCCACAGTGTAATGAGATGAGTTACTGTAGGTACAGTCACTTTCTTATTGTTTCATTTGAGACACCAAGTACAAATGTTCCAACTCCAAAAATCTGTGTCTTGGCATGCTTCATAGAGTAAGAGAAGTGAAGCGCTGATCACCCACACATCCAGAGCCTTGCTACTCCACAGAGTGGTTAAGTCCATGCTGACACACAGGAAAGCTCAGCCAGGAGCAGACAGTGGCTTCACTAAAGTAGCCTTTACCATTTAGATGATAGAGCAGAGAACATTCAGCCTAAATGTCTTCAGCACATCCTTGCTCAGGTGGGGCCACCACTGCAAGAAGCTGGCAGTAAGCAGGAGAAGAATCTACTGACAGTGGTTCTCAAAAAAAAAAAAAAAAAAGGTGTACAGAGACAGATGGAGATCTGTGGGAGCCAGAGGGCACAGTCACTCTGTCTCACCATAAGCAGGCCACAAGCCAAAATGAAAATGCTCCTTAAAATAACAGAAAAGAAAAACATCCATTAAATTGGGTAAGTGGGGAGGGGAAAGCCACCATGACCTTGTTCCTTCCAGCAAACTAACTGGTTTGAGTCTTTCAGTATGTACAGTACGCACCAGACCTTGGCAGCGGAAAGTGGATGAACTTAACTTGCTGGTATAAATGTGCATGCTCCACATTTAAGCAGAAATCAAATACCCTACAAACACCCCAAACACAGCCTGAGAACAGAAAATTGTTGCCTAGCCCAATACCAGTTTCATTCCGGCTAAAGCCTGCATTGCAAATGGTGAATTTGTTTTCAAAAGCTTAGCAAAACATAAGTCAGTTTAATTATCTAGAAGCCAAATCTAGATAAGTGGTGCAAAGGGGTCACCTACTTGAAGCCCCGCCCTGCCACACACTATTCACAGGATACACCTTTATGTATTTTTAAAGTATTCCTTTATTTTACTCTACATTTGTCTTAATAAATTTATCTTCAATATTGGAAGTGGTGTTTCTGATACCACTGTTTCTACTGTTGTACTGAAGTTATGGAGATATCCAGACCAACATACTCTCTTAAGTCTATTACATACATTCAGCCTCACCTTGTCCTTTAGAAGGCACCTGACAAGTGACATTAGTCAGTGTTGCTATATACTCCATCACCTCTTGCTTTGTAAGAAAGTTGGAATGTGCCATGTACAATATGGGATGCAATAGGACAGCAGTCACTAAGGAAGGAGATTTAATTGACATGCAAGCTTGTGTCTGCCTAGCTGGCTGGAGATCCATTTGTGTAAAGTTTGTTGTTTTGTTTTTTTTTTCAAACACCAGCAGATAAACCCATGGCTACAGACAGAAAACTAACTTTTGCAGGTGGCAGCTTTTAGGGAACTGGTAATGAGGCACAGCCTGTTTTAGTGGCTGACACCTGCCTGTTAACAACTGAAAGGCACAGCCAGATGATGCAGCTATTGCAAGAGGAGACTGACCATCCCGGCGTAGTTCTCATTCAGCAAGCAAATGCATCAAATGATGCACAAACATTGTCTTACGCCTTCTTTGCATTTGTCCAGCATCTGGTCCAACAAGGCTGGTCTTTGGAGTAGATCCCACAGTCTCCAGAAACACAAATAACCACCAGAGATCACCACCATCATCTCACTGGCAGGTTGAGCATCAGGGCAAGCAGCTGAAAGAAAGTCAGGAGTCTTATTTACTTCCTTGGACTGAGCTCCAAATGGGCAACAAGCATATAAAGGGGCATGCAAGGACCCCACAGGTCCTCCTGGTGGGACCAGGACTCCCACAGGATGATGAGTGAATCTGGGAAGCAAGGGGTTTTGGGGAAGCACTGTGGCAACAGAGCAGCACAATAAAACCTGCTGCATCTAGAAGAAAGAGAAGCCAAAGCTCATGCCTGACAGGTGTAAGGTAACATACTTTACACTCCTTTGTGAACATGTGAAGCTTGTTTTCAATTTATACTAAGGTCTTCAGAGTAAGAAGCCAAGAGGCATAATATGACTTTGCTTTACATTTAATCTTTAATCCTAGTGTAACTTCCTGTAAGGAAATAAAAAGTCTGCTACTGTCATTTTTGTTGTTGCTCCTTATATGCCATCATAAATGTTGGAAACACGGAATTATACATAATATTGTAAGCATTATTTTCAACCAAACCAACTTTTAAGCAGATAACAAATAGCAACTTATGTACAAAACAGATAACCCCTACTGAATAATGTATTGTTGGGTTTTTTTTGCTATTGTAAGGTGCTTTACTTTCACCTAGCAGAAAAGTGAATTTGGTTTGAAACTAGTCAGTGGTAGAAAATGAACAGATAAAGCAAACTAAAAACAAGTTATCTTTTTTCATTTAAAATATATGTTGTTTCCACTAATATGGCAAACAATTACTAGTGTATCTCTGTAAGCAAGGACTATCCCAGAGTCTTGCCAAAACCAGCCAAGCAAACCAGAGGCTTCTTGGTTGTGCAAACAGATTGATAACTTAAGAGTAAGCAGAGATCTTTAATGTCTGTTTGACTGTAGAAATAAGGCAAATTCTCACAAGGTTTCATTTCATATTATGGGCCAAAATCCACACTTAACATTAGCAGGAGACACTTGTAACAGCCTGGGAAGAACATTACAATGACACACCTGAGCCCCAGGACTTGTCTTGCTGCTTCCATCCACCTCCCTCTGCCAGTGCAGCACCAGCAGTAGAACATGGCAGGACAGCATAGCACCCACTCTGAGGTGGAAGAGTGGCACAGGGACTTTCTACAGACCAAGAGGTGAAAGAACTCTACATAGGTCCATGTAACGTGTATGTACTTGCTTCTCTTGTGACCCGCATTGTTGCCAGGTTGCAGGCTCAAACGTACTCAAATAAAAAAGAAATAATTACCATCCTCCCCTCCCCCCCCGAAAAAAAGTCACTGTTTTACATTTCAAATTCTTGTGAAGAAACCATCCTGTATATGCAAAAAATAGATCAGCCCAGATTCACAACCACATTTTGTATATAAACAGAGCAAGCTTGTTCAATCTTGGATTTGTCCCATTTTCAGTATTTTTCTAGTTTTGCCATGTTCTTCCTAAACTGTGGATCCAGGAGTGCAATATTTTAGATGCATTCCAATCACACACATACTGTGGTGCTCCTCTTGTATTTTCTGTACCCTCTTCCTGTATGCACAGGGACATTTACTTGCAAATACAGCATTTGCAATAGCTCTACCTGCTGTCAAGGCTTCACGTCACAACTGTTTCCAGGAGTTTATAGCATTGCCAGACTACAGCTGTTCTGCCTGTGTTTTCCATGCCAAGAATCTGTCTCAAAGGGAAGTCTTTGGATTTGCAAAAACCAAATCAGATGTTTCTAAGAACAAGAAGGGGGGGGGGGGGGGGAGGGGAAACACAGTACTTTAAGCACAAAAGCATTAGCAACTGCAACCTCAGAGAAAGGTTCTACAGGCAGGCAGAAGAGGAACCAGTAGGCCACAGATAAGCAAAATAGAGAAAGCAAGTACTGCAAACTACTGTACTGCATACACAATGCAAATTCTTCCCAAAGGAATTATCTAAACAGGGTTAAATATTTCACCGGGACTAATACTTTATTTTTATAAATCAATCTGCATAATGTAAGCTGGCATTCTTCACATTTCAATTTTGCTTACAGTCATAAAACTAACTCTGCAAACCATCCCCAGCTATATGTTATTTTTATACCTAAGAGCACAGAGTGATGGAAACTTGGCAGGACAGATCTGACTGAGAGAAAAATTGTTCTACTTCCCAAACATACCAGAACACAACCATGCTCCACAGTCTGATTTTAAAGCAGTAGGATGAAAGTGACTCAGCCTACATTAAAATTAGAGGTACGATGAGATTGAGACTGCAAGATAAGTACTGAATTAAATGCATTTTTACTTGACTTAAAGAAGCTTTTTCATTAATGACTGGTGAAGGAAATACTGGAAACCTAACAGCTTTAGAAGCCTGTGAAATTGTCAAACCCACAAGGTGTTTTATGGACCTGCGAGAGCCACCTGCCACCGCTCCTGTAGGAAAGCCAGAAGCAACAGAGCACAGGGGCTGTACAGGGCAAAGATGGTGCTGTGGGTCTCATTCCCTGCAACACCATGGTCAGGCACTCCCAGCCTCAAGCTGCTGGTGCAGGAGGATGAGGCCAAGACTAGATGAAATAGGACAGTAGCTGCACCATACCACATACATGCCTATTGGCAGTGGCATCCCAGCTGCAAGCACTCCTGCTGAAAGCCTCTGCAGCCCCGTTTACCGGGATCCCCATGGTACTTTTCCCAAGCCTACCTCTTCCCCTGACCACTGCGAAGCTGTCCCAGCCCTGGCACCCTTGCCCCCCAACCACAGCAGGTAGATGCTGCAGGCTGGCAAGCAAGCACCGGTCTCCCCACTCTGCAGCGCTCCAGCAACAGCCTGAACTGCATGGCACCACCACACACCAACAAAAGATTTTCTCGAATCCAATACTGACACAACTTACACAGCTGTTAGTTTGCTCACGGCAACCCTGACAAGCTTTTCTGTATCTTCTGTTGCTTTTCTTTATGTTCAGAGACAGCAGCATAGTGTTTCTGGAGCCTTTGATAATGAATACATATTTAACCTCACCCATACATATATACACACACACATTTTTAAATATACATAAAAAATATAAATCCCTCCAAGATTTCAAATGTTAGATAAAAAAGCATTAGCTGGAAGAGTTCACTAGGCCAAATGACCAGATCAAGACATACCCATTCTTCCAGATACACTACTTACAGCAAGGAGGAATATGTAACCGCCTAGTGTTTCTGCCTGCTACCTCCCCAGGCTCTTCCTTTCTCTGACAGAAAACCCTCCAACTGGCCCTGTTTTGTTCTGTAGTACATTTATATTCAGCTCCTTTGCCTCAACTGAATTCAGGTGCATGCAGGCATTTGGCACCTGCATGTGGGTATTGCTCCTGGTGAGATTTCTGTAGGTTCTTCATTGCCTAGGTTTCTTTCTAATAAATCCTAAAGAGCAAATTAGAAGCAAAAAAAAAGAATAGAGAAATTCTTTCAATTATTTTCTGCCTTTCTGCAATATGCATACACACATTCTTGCTACATAAGAATTCTTCATACACACAAGAAATGTGAGAAATCAACTGCCACCAAAGGACTCTCTGTCTCCCAACATGGGTTAACAAAGACCTGCCCAAGTTCATGTTTTGAATGGTTTGCACAAGTAACTTGCAGTTTCCTCCTTAATAGGAGGACACAGAGGACAGTACCGTTATAAATTACTATTCCATCCATACGGTTGTGCTGGCTGCCTCCCTACATCTCTAGTACAAGCTCAGAGAGCCACTGACCTGCTGAACTGGCACCATACTCAGGAGATCAGGATGACAGGCAGAGCTGGGGTGCCCAGCTTTTTGTGCATGGATCGTTTTTACTACCCAGCACTGAATGATTGTGGTGCGTAAGAGAGGACAAGAAACCACAGGCCACCAGCATTTTGATGCTAACAATTTAAAAAAATCAGCAAGACTAAATGACAAAGAATCTGTTACTGACTGAACAACATAGAACCTTGTTTATCTGGATGGACATGTGTGAAATAAAGGTACCTACAAAAATAATTTGCACCAGCCACAGTGTTTGAAAGGGGTGCTCTCCCTGTTGTCTGTGAGGGAAAATAGAGGCCAGACAGTAATGGGATGTGCAGAATTGGAACAAGTGCTGGCACCACGCAGTGTGAAATGGCCTGAAGCCACCAGCCCTGACAGCTATTGGGCACTCCTGCCACTGTCTGCACACAGGATTTCTGACTTAGCGGAACAATACAAAACACAACATAAATGCAAGTTAGCAATTGCAATACACAGTTCAGTCCCCATACCAGCGTGATTCCCTGATTCCCATTGCCATTCTCCATAGTACACTCACTGTCACAACACTGGGCATCCCCAAACAGGGATATGTGGGTTGATGCCAGCTCAAGCCTGTTGTTCTTCAGAATTCCCCTGTTAGCTGTTCAGATGTTTTATCCTAGGTTGGACTGAGCCATATAAGCACTCCTCCCCCCTCCCTTGCCAGCATGGCTAACTCAGGGAGACATTTACACCCCCAGTTGATTTACTCAGCTGTTGATATCTGTTTATTTAAAACAAAGGCCACCCTCCCATTCCGTTCACGCTGAGATAAAGTCAGCTTCTTTGCATTACTCTGAGGGTCTTGTCACCCTTGCCTGTCTCTACTGAGTGCTCTTCCCCTGTGGGGCTTATTCACAGAGCCACTGTCTACCCTGCAGGGTTTACTCAGTCACATGCTTTCTGGAAAATTCATCTGTCTGTCGTACTGACTTCTTGAAGGGGGAGGCTACAAGCCAGGAACAAGCAGAGGGATGCTTGCGTAAATGCCAAGGGTGATTTTGTGGGAAAGTTTTACACCCCAGCCCTTGTCCTCCAGAAAACTAAAGGAGGCTATGTGCTTGCCAGTGCACACATTCACCTCCTGTGCAGTAGTGTGGGGTGTGACTCTGCCTTCAGTCATGTGGAGCCCAGCTGGAGCTGTGTGACTCAACACAAGGGCTGGTGGGACACAGGAGCTGCGCAAGAAGCTTCTGACCCTCCTGCACACAGCCCTTCCACCCACCACCGCTGGCAGGAGCGCAGAAGTGCTTACCCAGCAGGTACCCACAGGTCTGCACCTCTACTACTTTGGCCACCCAGCAAGGCGATGGTGGTTCCTCCAGAAAAGTCTCAAGGAGAAAGAAAATGAATCTCAATTACTTGATGGGACCTATATGCCGAATTTTGAGGGGCAAAGCCCCTCGGGTTCTGTTCATCCAGCCAGTCCTTGCCTTCACAAGTCCTTGTGGCTTCACGTACAGACTTGCAAGAAAGCACGGTTATGCATGTTTCATAGCAAACCATTGTAAGAGGGTGAATAGGAGAACCAAACCCTCCGAGGCCAGCTGCTGCTATAGCTGGAGGGGGTGAATCATGCTTGTTTCAGAAGCAGTACCCTTAGCCCGGAGCTAAAAGAAGCAAAGCAGGGAGTAAGGTAGGGCACTTGCTAGGAAGAATGTCATCAGTTGCATTTTTTTATTTGTTTTGTTGTGGGTTTTTTTGATGCTTGTCAGCTATTACCACTAAATAGCAGAGCCTGTGACAATACAGAGAATATAATTGTTTTGCTCTTGAGAATACAGGGCAACATTGTCACCCAACAAGAACAAACGTGTTGGGTTGTTTTAATTCCTGGCATAGCTGGGCATGTCTTATCTCTGGCTTGAAAAAATGGAAATGCATAATGAAGACAGCCCGTTGTCTTGTTAGGTAACTACACACAACTTTCACCACAGGATGGGAGCTGTTGGCAAGATGTGGTATCAGTACAGAGATACCTCATATTGCCAGCTAAATAGATCTGTCACATTTCTTTCTGCAAATGTTATGTCTACTACTACTACTACAAATAGCACAGCTGAGTGATAAAACTTAAAAAATGTGAAAAATATTTTCTCTATTTTCAAGTCTGTTTGCCTTGTGAATCTCACACCATTTTGTTTTGTCAAACCCATGTTTCAGGCCCACAGGGCCAGCACTTCTCTGACCTTCACACCCGTGCTCATCATTAACAAGCAGCAGAGCTTAAAACAGGCTTTGCAGCAACTCACATGGGACAGAGAAGGCAGTCTTGTTAGGTATCTTTTAACTAAAAGGAAACAGGAATAAGATAACCGTATACAAGAATATTGCTCTAAAAACACTAAAACATGCTCTTTAATGACTGTTGACTGAGGCCTGGCCCTAGAGAGACTGAAAGAATTTCACATTGCCAGAACCTTCCTTCCACGAATAGTCATACTGATTTCATGTACTTCTTTAGGATCAGGTCTTAGATGACTCTATTTTTAACTACATGAAGAGCTAGCAAGTTTAAAACACCTTAACCCTCCAGCTGAGTCTATATAGATTTGAAAGTAATTCTATTCTGCACATAATTCATGTGTGTATCAATCAGCAAAGAGTAAACAGCAAGTGCTGCAGTAAGTCTCATGTCACTAATTTCATGGCAGTACAGAAATATGCTACTGTAAATTAACTAGTACATTATGGTGCGTTATAAATAATTAAAACTAAAACTGCAATTGACAAAATGGATGAAGTAAGAACATTCTGTAATCCACTGTTCTTATCCTACTTTATAATTTCCTTACTTGGGTAAACCACTAAGTATAACTAAATATTTAAGCACAGGAAGGAATTAATTAGTATAATTTATTAATTTGGAAGGTACCTTGATCAGAAAAAAATTAAAACATGTTAAAACATACACATAAGCCACTCTCAGATAAAACAGCAACCTGCACACCATGCAAAATAACCCAGTCCTTTACCATCTTTCACAGATCTCCAAGGTGAAGCCAAAGGGAGCATACTACAGGAGTGGTGAGTGACCCAGGACACAGCATTGCTGCTGACTGTGGGACATCAAGAACTAAGAAAGACCCCATTGTACCTGATCTTAGAGGGCAAGGGAAAGAGATGGACTCCTCCAGTCACCCCAGTTGACTGCTCCTGATGTTCAAGGAGGTGCATAGGAACTATAGGTCTCCCCATTAGCCAGGCTTTTCCTCAGCAGGATCTGTTTTACAGCATTGCGTGCAAGTCTGACAGCTGAATGCAGGGCACATGAGAAACAGATTCTGCTTTGGCATCTGAATTAGAAGCAGTTCAGCTTTTGAGACCTAGAGATGAGAAGAGACAGATAGGTGGACAGCATATGAGTGATATCACTATATCTTTCAGAGGAATTTTTTAAAGCAGACCAAAAATGCTTTCATGCAACTTCTTAGAACTCTGTGTGCCTCACTACTTTAATCAATAGCAAATGTCAAATTGTTTTTGCAGAGGTTTTGTTTTTGTTTTTTTTTATTCTTTAGTTTCACTGAAATAGGGGGTATCTTTTTTTAGATAGGCATAAAACAGGCTGACAAAACCTGCTGCTTCATTATCTCCATGTGAATTCCATATTCTGCTCCTCCACTCTCTGCCTTCTCCTCTGTCTTCTCTGAAGTACCACAGAGCTCTCCATCAGCTTTTCTTTTTCTTTCTTTTTCTTTTGAATTTGCTGGTATTTATTTACAGAACAAAAAGCTTTATCAATTAATGTACTGTTTATGCTGTCTGAGCTAGCCCTGACCTTCACTGACAGAGAACAATCCCTACTGACAATCAGGGCCAGACCCTGCACTATTTTCTTGGTGCAGCACCATGGAGGTGGGTGTCATTGCCCACCTTCCCCCTCCAAAGCAGCAGGTGGGAGGATGAGGGATAATGTCCCAGGACAAACCTTCAGGGGGAATTCCACTTGTGGAGAGGGCTCTGACCATGTTTCTGTAACATCCAAGGGGGTTCCTACACCTCTGGAGTCCACCATGGCATGGAAGGATCCTCACTGATGCTGCCTTGGCTGGGTCCACAGGCATCCCTGGGGTGCTGGCTTGATGGCAGACTGCACCCACCTCCCCATCTGTGTGAAAGCTGAGAGGTGGAATGGAAAAGCTGTAAGTATCTGTGTAACCTTGACTTGTGCTGTTACATTGGAGCAGACAGAAATCATGAGAGACAGCAATCCTCTTGCTTCACAGCATAAGGAATCTTCCACCCAGCAGAGCAGGGGCACAAACAGCAAGTGAGAATGGCCCAGAGGAAAAGCTTAGTTCTAACTGATTGGAAAAGGGATCCTCCACCCATCTGTTACTGCCTACACTTGCTGCAGCACCTGTACTTGGAGGCTGAGCAGAGGACCCGACAGCCTGTTCTGGTAGAAGACACTCCACAAGCTACCTCAGGGAGTCTCTGGACGAGACTCATCAGGCATTGGGCAATGCTGGGAGAGAACAGGATGCTCCTATAGGGATGCACTTCCCTAAGAGACCTTGACTTCTGGACAAAGCCTTGTAGCTGAGAGCAGATGCCTGTAATACCACCCTGGCATGGATGATGACACCAGTGGGTTTGTGCTGGGTATAAGCAAAGACACTTTATAATTGTAACTTTCTAATAATAATGATGGATTAAGCCCATCTTTGCTAATCTACCAGGACATAATAGCTGACATAAGACTCCTCCCAAGCCGCAATGGGTGCTCACAGCTCTTTGAGCCAGAGATTGTTAAGCACACAGTTAACTCCCACAGACTATTTCCTTCTTTTTTTTGCAACCATTTCTTTAGGCAAGTCTCTCCTGATACTGCAAAAATTCATTTTAATCAATTTAAAATTAATAAAGAGAGTGAAATCCTTAGGGCCTGAAAGCTCCAATCTCTGCCTTGCTGGAAGTGATGAGTCAGCTTGAGCACGGCCGCCATGGAGCCTGTTTAGGGACGCCTCCAAGGAGCTGCCGCTGCGCTGAATTAGGTCACTTGGTTTGCTATTTACAGAGGGGCAGCCGTCTCTGCAATTGGAAGTTTTCTTCCCCCGATGTGAAAGCTGCTGTACTCTGACAGCACAACCACTGTGACACCTCGCTGTTGCACAGCTGCTGTGGCTCTCTCCTGTGCATTCACTGGTCAGGAGCATGACTGAGCCTCTGAGAGGAGGGAAAGGACCTTGGCCACCGGCAGCAGGACATGCAGGGTCCCATCTCACTCCTGAAGTGCTGCAGAGTGTCTCTGGAGGGGGACTCTGGACTCCTGCCTTGGTTACTAACCCAGACTCTGCCTGGGCCAGGAATGGAAACCAGCAACCCTGCGAGCCAGTCCTCCAGCTTGTGCCTCCACTCAAAGCCAAGACTCAGGCCCAGGCCCGGCTCCACTCAGTGCACAAGAGAACACGTGCTCCTCGGCGCCAGAGCAGAGCCGCAGTACTCCCTCGCTAATCACCCGGGTCTAATTGCTGTGCCAGGGTTCTAACAGGCAGCTCCTACGCCAGCTCTCCAGGGGATTAACATTAAGCCTCTGCTTTTTGCACTGATGCAGCAGATGAGGAAAAGCAGTTCCCACCTTGCATGCCCAGAGCACATGAGCCAGTCACCTCCGTGGGTCACAGCAGTGCTTGGATGCCAGCAAGCAGGCAGGGCCAGCCTAGGGCAGCAGCGGACCCAGCAGCAGCACGAGGCTGGTGTCATGGGCTTTTGGCAAGAAGAAACGCTCTGCCCTACTCCTCATGTCCAGTGCCAGGGGATAATGGAGGCTGAGGAGCTCTTACAGTGCTTCTGCAGCATGAAACCTCCCGGTCTGTAACAGGGGAGCAGCAACAGCATTGATGGAAGGGCAGAAGCCCTCACAAACTGCCCATGACATCCCTCTCTACCTCCTGACCAGCCTCAGGCTTCCTCAGCACATCCCTTCTTGGGCCCCCCAAGGAAGGGCACAGGGATCCCTAACACTGAGGGCCATTCCCTAAAGGTGCACAATGCAACTGCTGCTCTCCTGGGCTGGGAAAAGGGGTCAGGAAAGCTATGTGCCAGCCCTTTCAGGAACAGCCAGGCTCTGCTGGAAGCAGAAAGGCTGCCCATCAGCTGGCAGCTATGCCTAAACCCCAATCTGAATCACCACCAGTTTCCTGCACTTATCTAAAACCACTGGTGACTTGCCTTGGAAAAAACAAGTATACAGTGTCCTGCAGCAGCTGGCACCACCTCTGCATCCCTGCCCAGCTCTCCTCCAGCATGAAGAGGACTGGCCACACAGGAAAGCAGAGAAGTCAGCTCAGTTCCCCTTGCCCCAGCAGCCACCCTAACTCTCCTATCATGCTGCTCGATTTTGTTCCTAGGTGCCATTTGCCTGATGTCAGTTATTCCTCCCCTGTGCTGGAGCACTGAGAGAATCAGACACAGTGAGGGTGTCCCATTGGTGAGGGAGCAACATGCAGTGCTCAGCAGGGCTGTAGGACCGGGAACAAAGCAGTCAGAAAGAACTGCTTGCGCTTTCTCAAAAGCAGGTTCACTTCCCCTACTAGCAGTGGCTTCAAATAACAAGATGCCTTGAGTAATTAACTGAATGTTCTTTGGATAGAGCTTGTAAAAGGAGCTTATACATATTAAACAAGAAAGATCTACTGTCTATAACTTGTTCTTTACTAACAAACAAAAGGTTTGGACTAAATTCATTTTAGAGCCAACTTTACAAGGGCCTTACGCTGAAATTATTCAGTAGAAAGAACTGAATGGAGCCCAGAGCATTTATGAGGGGCCGACCACAAAAAGCAAGGTTTGTGGTAGGATTGTTTGTTTTTTTAAGAAAATCAAATACTCTCTCTTTTCTGGCATTAACATGACAGAGCTGCAAAGATTTAGCAGTAGCACTGCATTCGCCTCCAAGGAACACACAAAACAACTGCTTCCTTAGTTAGATCAGCTGCTGGAGCAAGTGCTACAGTTGCCATTATCAGAGCTGAAAGTGGAAAAGGAATTCCTCATTAATGCACTGAAGAACAAAGGATCTTCTCTGTAACAAGGGCCTGTATAGTGCTGGTGCTGGGACTACAGTATCTTTGCATTCTGACATACTCTTGCCCAATGTAGCCTGCTGTTCCATCAGAAGTAACAACTTGGTTGTGAAGCAAATTAATTCTACTCTATCAATCGCTGTTTTTTTCCACTTGCAACAACAACCAAAATCCAATGTTCTATCATCAAAATAAGGTAATCACAGCAACATGGAGCTCTTCTAGGTAGAAACACAAAAGGTACTAACCACATCATTATTACATAAGACTCAGATGCTCCACTGTATTTGGCTTATACTGCAATAGCTGGCAGTTAATACTGCTGTGGGGTCTGTGAAAAATGGCATGAAAGGAAACATAGGCAAAATGTTTATTTAAATGAGTTTGTTTTGGTACCACCAGAAAGAGAAAAAAAAAAAACACTCAAAAACCTGCCTGCGCAAACCAGTATTTAGCCCTTTAAAGGCTAAATGGCATTTAAAGAATAGAAGAGCTGCTGCTCTCCTGTTCCTCTGCCCTGCATCTCGTATTATATTCATGTGGGAGCAGGCAAAAGCATCCATGGCACGTAGCAGCAAGAGGCACCAGGAACACCTTAGGAGGCCAGCACAGGCAGAGTTCACCAACTCCCATCCCCTAAACAACCCAGCTCAAGAAAACACAAAGGAGACCTCCCCCAACAACAGGAATGAAGCCCGAGAAGATGACTACTACAATCCAGCAATTCAATGCTAGTCAAACACATCACCAGTAAACTGTTAAAGGCAGACATATGCTTCTGCTACGGAGAGAAAGCTTTGATGATGGGATCTTTCCCAGCTGTTGGTAACAGGCTCAGTACAAAAGGTCAGACTGGGAGTTAGTCACAACACAGGGCTTTTTGCGCTCCTGGCAGACTGTTGGACATGAGCTATTCTGGACATGAACTCAAATGCAAGTGGTACATGACCTGGGAATACGCAGAGACAAAATGTCTACCACAGAGAGAAGAGCAATTGGAGGTTGGACTAGGGTCTGTTTAGAACTCAATTCCTGCTCTAACATCCTCTTTCTCACAACAGTCTTCAGAAGGGTTCAGCCACTTCAGGGACCCAGAGCTCTAACATTCCTGCTTACCAGCTGCCTAAACTCACAAATGTCAGCATTTCTGAACTTACAGTCTCGAGAGACCCAGATCTTCTGAATATACTGGGAAGCATATCAGCTTTAACACTGCAGAGCAGCCTAGTGTCTATTTTATGCCTAAGCCTCTCATATGCAAGAAGTGGTTTTATCTCTTCCAGAGAGGAGCAAAGTGACAAAATTATTTCCTGCTCACCTATTTAATATTCAGCTGTGAGAGACAAAAGATTTTTGCTCACTGAAGAGAAATAAAGATGAACCAAAGTGACTGAATGTATTTCTTTCTTTTAAATTATTAATTTTTTTTATTTGTTTTAATTATAGAAATTGAAGCCCTGCTTCATTGGAAGGCTGCAGGGTGACTAAGACCCAGTGCAATGGTACACGACAGAATAAACCTGTAAAGTTTGTGTGTGAGATTTCAAAAAGATTTCCTCAAATGTCACACACTGAGCACCACAGACGCTCCTGATATAAATAACAGAATTATCCAAAGAAACAAACAAAGCTTTCTTTACCTATCAAAAAGAAGGTGAGAACATAATGACAATTTATGTGCATTCTTTGCAGGCCATGTCTAACTGGATGCTGCAAACAACTGCATGCCTTGCGGAGGACTTCCTTACATCCTGCCTGTCCTATCTGTATACTCCTACTGGGCAAACCAAAGTCTCTGAAAAGATAGGCCTGGATGAAGATCAGAATTCAAGGTTGGATTTTGTAGTGAAGCAATAAAGAAAAAATTCAGTGCTTTAATGGCAAAATTATGAGTGTCATAATTTCAGTTCCCAACTTCTGTTTTTTTTTTTTCCTATTACTGAGATTAGATCAGAGTAAAATGCAACCATCAAAGCACTGTCATAATCAAAGAACAGTTCCTATGCTTTCTTTTCTTGGCCATTTAACATAGCTTGCTGGGAGGAAAAAACCCACCCCATTAATGCTCGAAGAGGAGCAACCTCAGGTTTA